GGCTTCATGGTTTTAAAATGTTTTCATTTTCAACCACTGCTCCAAAACTGTTTCTGAAGATTGTAGGCTAAATGTTTGACTTATATATAATTATCACCTTTAATTTTGAGTAATAGGCAGGGAAAAAATATATTATTTACCCATTAACAGTTTGGACAATTTCTCTTCCATTGTCATAAACCATCCACTTAGGAGGCTTCTGAACATTTCCCACACCATCTAAAATCACTTCCTGATACACACTGAAGTCTGTTTTGTTTAAAAACTTGTTGACTGGATAGTCATCCTGTAAAATAGCCGAAAAAATAAAAAAAAAACAAAATAAAACCAACAATCATAAAATAACCATAATTCGATAAATTTAAGTATCTTACAGTATAATTGTGTGGTTTTGGAGAGTTTTCCATGGAAATGATATACTGTTCATGGGTTAAATGTAAATGTTACAGTAACCATAAATAAAGTGACAAGCTGATCCTTCTTACAATATTAGGGATAATGACCACCCATGAAACTTTTGCTTTACAAAATGAAGAATGTACTTAATTGGACATACCTGACTATCAGGAATAGAGTCACCATCTGTATCAACTACACATGCATCACCAATATTGTCACCATCACTGTCAGCCTGTAAGATAATTACACCACTTTCCAATGATTTCTCCCAGATTTCACAGAGATTTCACTCTTGAGATCTTTACAATAATTCTCTAGGCAGTCTTCAATCCATTGATTGTAACATCATTAATGAGATTTGGTGCTAACTCAAGTGGTGTTCCTCAGTGAGTTTCCTTCATACTCATCACCTGTCTGGCTGTAGTGTATTGAGGTCACTTCTAAGTAACTCCTTAGAGTAAAATAGCTGCAGATTTTAGGGCAGAAAAGTCATGGACAGGCATACCTGATTCTCATTAGGCATAATAGGGCAGTTGTCATCAATATTCAAAACACCATCTCCATCTTTATCCTTATCACAGTCGTCTCCAAGTTCATCATTGTCACTATCAAGCTACAGATAGAACAGAAGATTAGTCTACCAATGTAACTAAAGAAGAGTGGGTAACTGACTTCCTTAACTAACTGACTGAATGAATAAATGAGAGACTGATCCACAACCAACCTGACTGACTGACTTAAACTGACTGACCAACTTTCTGGCTGGGCAATTGGCCAAAATCATAGACTTTGCCAGGCTTCTGTAGTTAGAGGAGACAAACAAATGTGTGAGTGAAAAAAAGTCAGCAGGATTTTCAGAAGAAGTCTTGCCCATTTTCTCTCACTTTGCTTATTCCTGGAAAAGGCTACTGAAATGACAACTCAGTTATCTCTCTAACCTACTAAGCTCAGCCATCTAACAATAATCTTGCTTTGAGACTTAAGTGACTGAAAGTTAAACTACTAGACAGTTAGATTTCCCAGAGATGACAATTTAACCAAATGGAAAATGAACCAGGAGTTTCATATCTGACCTGATCCCCATTGGGAACATCTTTACAGTTGTCAATACCATCACTTATGCCATCTTGATCTACATCTGACATGTCCTCACATGCATCCCCAATAAGATCCTGGTCAGTGTCATTTTGATCAATATTATACACATTGATGCAGTTATCACATGTGTCCCCCACAGTATCACCATCAGTGTCTTCCTGCTTTGGGTTTGGCACAAGAGGGCAGTTGTCCCCATTTTTTATGCCATCGTTGTCCAAATCACGGCTCTCACAAGCATCACCTGTTCCATCACCATCACTGTCTTTCTGGTCTAGATTGGGAACATCAATACAATTGTCACATATATCCCCCAAGCCATCGCCATCTTTGTCTTCTTGATTTGAATTGGCCTTAAACTGACAGTTATCCATGGTATCTGTGATGTTGTCATTGTCATCATCAATGTCACAAACATCACCAAGATCATCCGCATCATTGTTCTCTTGTCCACTGTTGGGAATGAATGGACAATTGTCAATCTTGCAATCCAGTGATTGGCAAGGTAACTGGACATCAGGAAAACCATCCAAGTCAGAATCTTGCTCACAATATTTACCGTTACCAGCAAAACCCAGGTTACAAAGACATTGGGACTGCAGGTTGTTTGGTTGTTGGACACAGGAGCCATTTACTTTGTTGCATATGGTACAAATATCACTGATGATACAAGCTGAAGACATTGATAAATAAACATTCAATTCTGAGTGGGTAAAAAAATAAGTGTGGTTGTGATCTCCAAGAAAAAATCCAGGTTTATGCCCTTGCCTGCACCACATGGCGACTGCACCCAATGAAATAATGACTGTTCTCTCAAATATTCACGAAAATATCAATTGCTAGTACCTCTGTTTTACATAGGAGGAAGGAATTAGCTCATTGATGTCTAAATTTTTTTTTGTGTATAAAATAGCTTCTCTATTGTGGCTTTAGAGAGGATAGAGACCTCTTGTATTCTACAGATTTGATTTCTGCAATTATAATGACTGAAAACAGATCTAATTTTCAAAGAATCTGTGAACATTAATCATCTGTTTGACTCTAATTGAGATGTGCCTTGCTTGTTTCAGTTATAACAGAAAGTAAGCACAAGACCTTTTTATCTGACCATAAAATACCAACAATCATTGGGCTAATTAACAGACATATTATTTCACTTTACTTTATGGTAATTTCATAAAGATGATTTGGTTTTATTTTGATTTCAAATTCAAAATTCTCAAGTACTAACTAAACACATTAGGAAAATATTTCCCGGCAAGTTTTTCTTCCAGATTGAAACAGTGACTACCTTACCTCCAATAAGACTTGTCCAATAGCCATCTGAGCCACACTGCACATAAGAAATAGTTTGGTTGAATTCCTTATCACAGCTCACATCACAAGTATCCTTGTATTTTGTGCCAGTGCAATTTAGTAGCTCCACAAAAGGTTCC